GGAGCGCCCGGGGAGCGCCCCAAGGAGGCGCCGAGGACCCAGAGATCCACGGCACTGAGAAACAAGCACGACGGCGTTTTGTCGCAGATTTCGGCCCCTGCAGAGGCCCCTCGCCGGGCCTCGGGCGCGTCAAAAACGACTAAGGATGAACAACTAAAAAAAACAAAACAAAAAAAAAACAAAAAAAAAAAAACTAAGGATGAAAAACTGGTCCAGGGGAATGGGTCGAGACCTCTGGGGACCGCGCATCGAAACCGTCACGACATCGGATCTCAGGGCTCCCGGGTGCCCTGGGTTTCCTGGGTGCCGACGGTTCCGCGATGGAGAGCGTGACGTTCCCACACCAAAAATCAACGGACGGCCCGGGTTCTCAGGGTCCAGGCCTCCCATACGGGGTCGGAGTAGTCGGAGGATCGTGCCGCATCCCCGATGCGTCGGCGATGCGGCTCGATGCGGAGCCCGACTTGCTTCACGCTGACGTCGCCGATGCACCGCCGACGTCGGCGTTGCATCGCCGGTGCATCGCCGATACATCGTCGATACAATCGCCGATGTATCGGCGATGCGGCGCGATCCTCCGACCCCGTCTGCTCCAACCCCATCCAGGCAGGCCTCTACAGGGTTGGGTTTCTTGTGGAAGGTCTCATGTGGACTGGCCTCCACTGTACTCCCTTCCGTCCGGGGAGCCCCCTCGGGCCGCCGCGCGCGCGGCTAATGATAATAGTAGTAATACTACTACGAATCATAATAATACATATTATTATTAGTATCATTATTATTACTACTACTAGTACTACTAACAATAATACTACTCATACGACTCATACTACTCATACTACTAATAATAATAGTAATAGCAATGATCACACTGATACGAAGAACAATACTACTACTACTACTACTACTACTAATAATAATAATAATAATAATAATAACACTAATAATGATAATAATAATAATAACAATAATAAGAATACCAATAATAACAATACTGATAATAATAACAATAATAATAATACTAGTAATCGTACTAATAGTAGTAATAATAAAAATAATAATAAGAATAATAATCATAATAATGATCATACTAATAATCATACGAATGATAACAATAATAATAACAATGCTACTATTAATAATGATAATAACAATATTAGTAACACATGTTCTGGAGCCCTTGCCAGAGATTTCAGCACGCTCTCTGGGGCTTCTTTGGGGCTGGCCTCTGGGGCCGTCTGGTGGCCATCTTGGGCGTCTTGGGGCGCTCTTGGGCCGCGATTCCGATCCGCGGGCCCTCTTTGGAGCTGCCTTGTGGTTCCGTGGGCCGCTCCTGCAGGGGGCGATCTGGAGGGCCCCGGAAACCGCCCCCGGGAGTTCCGACATGAGCGGACCTCGGGGCTCAAGAGACGGGGGTCAATGTAAACGGGGGTCAGGCAGAGCGCCGGATCTTGCAGCATCCTGCACGGCCACGGGCCGCATGGACCCGGGTTTGGGCGCAGGGTCCTGCAGGATCTTGCAGGATCCTCCGCATTGGCCCGGGCTTGGGTGCAGAATTGTGCAGGATTTTGCTGGGTTCTGCAAGGCCTGACTGGCCCGGGTCTGGATTTGACCCGGGTCAGAAGATCCCCGAGGACCTTGCCAGGAGTTTGCCGGGAGTCCGCCGGATTTTTTTTTTCCCCGCCTGGGGACCCCCAGGGGCCGCCGCGCGCGCGCGAAGTAGAAAGTATACAGTCAAAAACCCTAATAAGGACGCGCGACTTTGCTCAGGGTACCCTTGCGTCCTTGCTCTTCCTTGCTCTTGCGTCCTTGAGGTTTTCGTCGTCCACCGCCCCAGAAATCCCAACTTCGGCTTCCCAGGGTCTTGCGTCCTTACCGCGCGTCCTTATTACAGCGAGCGGCTTGAATAAGTAACACTTACTTTTCAAAAGGGGCTCGGTCGTTCCTTAGCTTTGCATGCGTTATTTACAGTTCCTTATGCGTTATTTGTTATTTATCGTTCCTTATGCGTTATTCCTTGG